GTATACAAATGAATAAACAACGAATGAAATGAAATTGTTACAATTAGGTGTTGGATCAACGAGGGCAGCTATATGAACGCGCTGGTTTATCCCGTATGCGTTTCCACCTTGTTGAATCTGCTTTTCCTATTTAATATCGTGCGAGTCCTTCTCATGAAGTTACGTGCCGGTCCCGCCATTGGAACGCGCCCTTCGCGATCTATGCTGCAAGCTTTCAGGTAGTTGAATTTTTCACTTTCTGTATGCTACCTTTCACGTCAAATTGTACATTGACATGACAGCGGAAAAAAGAACGTAACAAAGACCGTAACGAACGTATCTCTCTTACAAGAGATTTACGAGCATGTACGGTGCAATTTTTTTAATCGCGATAAATTATCCACCATTATTTTGCCAAACACCTGTCGACTCTCGTTCACTAATGCTACCTAGCGCTATTAATGTGTCATAGTCTTTTTTTCATTATTAAAAAGAGACATGTCAATTTATTCGTTGAAATTAAACGCAAGTGATTGAGATTAATTACTGATAATTTGCCGCTACGAAATAATCATTCTCGATAATAACACTTTATGACGACGTTTGATATCTTGTTGTCAGGGCCACGTTACTTTTAGTGCCTCTCTTGGGTCTTCATTATTTAGTAATTCCGTTTCGGCCACCAAAGAACCATCCTTGGGAGAACTTTTACGAGGTCCTTTCTGCAATCACAGCTTCTTTTCAGGTTGGTACTTTTAAACTTTTGCATATTGTTTTACAATTAAGAGCGAAAGAAAGTGAATTACACTGCGATCGTGTAATGCGCCTGTGCATACATACACAAAAATTGCATTATAATCTCGAGTAGATATCAAATCAAAATTATAAAGTTTCATGCATCGGAAAGCTTCATGCATTTAATATGCATTTTATTACAGCCTATTCTTTCATATATTTCGACGCATCCCTCAATGTAAAATTAATTTTTATTCCATATTATATCGTGGAAATTCTTCATATGACGCACCATAGAAACAAATAAATTAACAAAGTGAATTTTACCTTTCGTCAATTTAGAATATTGAAATATATATAGCATTGCAAATATGATCAAATCTGACGAATACGTAGCGTTCTGTGAGATAAAAAAGGGATTTTAATCTTTCTTGGAAATCTCCAGTCTCAAAGTCAAATAGCGAATTGCAGAAACAAACGCGTATACATGTTTTTTTGTGAAACATGACGCAACCGTTTGTTTTTTTAACCATCAGGTTCCGTTTAGTCAAAGATATAACTTTTTGTACGATGGAAAAATGTGCAGGTACAAACAGCATGCAAAATACTATTGCACATAAATTCACGTAAATTCGCGATGAATTCTTTGATCAATATTTGCATTTTTTCCCCCTTGACATAAACACAAGGACAGAGAGACATCCTTTCAGATTCTCACCCGAAGCAATACGAGTATCGAGCAATCAAATTTTGTGCGAAATTGCGCTTTCACGCACGACACTGCCGACACGACTGCATTGTTATATAATCGCTTTATATCGTATAAAATCGATGGGATCGCTATTTAATTGAACGATTCTGCCGAGTGAACCAGTTATCTTGGTATTCGACAGCCCTCGGTAACCATTTTATATCTGAAAAATACGGTCGTTAGCGCGCTTATGTGCGCGTCTTAACAATGTCGCGTACACCTAACCGAGAAACATCGCGCGTAAAGTGGTTTCGAACGATTTACATTGCAATCCCTTTGTTATTAAGTTTTCATATTGTTCCCACGAAGTAAAAGTACGTAAGAAAATGAATGGAAAGCGCAAATATACGAGTTCTCTTAAATACAGCATCCCCAGTGTAATTGATATTTGTAATCTTGTAGCTAATAAATTTACATATTATTCTCATTCTCTTTGTTTCGCTTTTACTCTATGTAATTCTTCTCTTGTCTTGCCGAATACTTTTATCTCAGTCTTAACTGGTGGGCTTGTAACAACAGTTCTGTTGGTGCCCTTTTACTGCTATATTGTGCAATAAAATCAAATAAAATCAAATCAAATAAAAATAAAATATTACCCTTGCCGTTACAAAAAAAGAAAGTAAGACGGAATCGGCCTTATTTAGAATAAATATCGCAGCTTTCCGCACGTACCTACAGCAATAATGTAGGGTGAAATGAGGGAAGGGAATAAAATTTCATAGCTCATTGGCGATACGATTAAATTTGAGAGTTAATCGGAAAAGCCCGTATCTCATGCGAAAGAAATTGTAATAAAGTCGACGGGAATTTTCTTCGGAAACGTTTCCCCGAGCTCGATGTCGAGATAAAATGTAATTTCTCTCTTTCCAGGGTCTCTGTGTGGCTGTGCTTTTCTGCTTTTGCAACGGCGAGGTAAGTTCCTATGGCTACGGAAACGGTCGTTTCTGCCTTCGGAGTAACTTTCGTGCCATGTAATGATATTTTCCCTCGTGGTGCCGCACAGGTAATAGCACAATTCAAGAGAAAGTGGGATGGCAGCGCCCTTTTGCGAAAACGAGCCAATTCCTGCACGGCCACAACAGTCTCGGTATGCAATATTGACGAAAAGTACAGGGTTTCTTGCGATGAGATCGATTTAAGCGACGCCTGAGCTTCCCGCCTACCTTTTTCCACGACACCCATCAAGAAATAAGACTTGAGCAAAGAACCAGGTGGATTAAGAGAAAGTGGCAGAAAACCCGTTTCATGGAATTGAATTCCTTATCTCCAAAATCGCGGATTAAATCAGTCAGTCATTGAAATCTCCCTGTTCCTTTCCGCGTTATCAGCATACTTTCCATTATAAGCGATTATATTCGTAATCTCTTCGATTCTATCAAAGCGATAAAATGTAGCTGCGCCATAATTCCCCTTGACGTTT